TATATATATATACACACACACACATACACACACACACATTCACTCTCACAGACACAGACACAGACAACAGTCATGGGCACATACTACAATTACTAAACACCCACATCAAGTACTGCGGGTCCGGGGGTTCGAGCCTCAGATCGGACTGACGCTGTGTCCTTAGGAAAGGCACTTTACACGAATTTCCCGTTTGGCTCGGTCCTTTCGGAGACGGACGTTCAACTCGGAGGTCCGGCCTCTCAGCGAATTATAGGCCATTTCCAGATTGAGAACCATAGATAAGGGGTACATGGAAGCGGAATCAGTAAACTGGAAAAGAGAATATTAATCCGCAGACATGAAAAAGAGGCTAAAACAGCTCCTGGACTTGGATGTCTGGTGCCTCTATAAATAAATCATTGAAGGTCAAGGTCAAGGCGTTAAACCTATACCATTGGATCATTTTTAGATCAAGCACGAGAACTTAATACTATTTCTCCAATCTTCCCTCACCAGCGACCCTCAATGCAGCCAACGAAACCGAATGGACCAACCGGAAGAGCCAAACAAAGGCGACCATCTTAGACTGGTTCCCCGGCCAACCAGACAGCGCGACAGACGTGAAGGGCTGTGTGGGGATTTCCCTCGACACTGACACCGACTCGGACCCCAAGATGTGGAATGTTCCTTGCAACTACGTCTCTGACAGCAACAAATACTGGGCGCACAGCTTCCTGTGCGAGGTTCCCAACCGCTTAAATATCTACGCACTCAATGCCTGCTTCAGGAAGCCCCCTGCCCAAGAAAGTAAGTATGCAAATTTTAAATTTAATAGATTTGAGGGGGGGGGGTATTATTTACCGTTGTTGATAAATTCTGCTTTACTTGACATATATCCGCCGATTCGAAAGCGAGACCAGTAGTTTAAGATTTCGACGGGGTTTTTTTATGGAATTGTTGTTGGGTTGAGTTTTTTTCTTGGGGGGGGGGGGGGGGGGGCTGGTCGGAGCTTCGATTGACTTCTTCTCTCTCCCTCCGCAGTTTCTGTCTGTCTTGCTTTCTTGCTCTACCCCTTCTGTGGACGACAATTTGTTCTGTCTGTGGTTTCCCTTCACACTCGGACCGATTATCCATAATTGTTATGTTCCTGTGAAAAATTGCACCCATCTGAAGGTTCTGTTTGTTTTCAGTAAAGAAAAGCACATAGACACATTAATGGCCATTTAGTGGAAGAGAAAAAGTAAGATAGACAGACTGAAACAAACGAGGGAAAGTAAAGAAGCAGGACCTACCAGTGACACCTCCCAACCATGTGCCTTCTGGACAATACAAAGGTCCTCTATAGACAAATATAAAACGAAAGTGAACATGAAGCCTTGGTCAGTTATTATACCGGTCAGTGGTCAGTAAACCCTGCTAGGATGCTTTAACTTTAACCAGGACACTTGAACTGCACCGAAACTTCACAGTTAGTAGTCAAACAGAGCCTCCCTGTGATCAAACCCTTTGTGCAGTCACCGTTACCCCGCCATCTTTAACTTGCTTTTCTTGTCAGTTTTCTTTTTTCATTAATATGTTTTGTTCTGCAATGGTTCCCTCTGCGACAATACAGTGTTGTCAAACAAAACATTTACATAAATGTGTTGTCCCAAATGGGATAGACCTTAACATAGGCTATGCGAATTCTCAACGAAAAAGATCGAGTCGCCCATACTTTAGATACACGGTAAGACGTGTTCAAATGTTACTACTGTGTGCCATATCGTGGCTCTTTTATTAATGTGCGTGTAGATTTGTTTGGGGGCCCCAACGAAAAAAAATAATTCTAACAATTTTTTTTTTTAAACTTATTTATTAATTAATTTGTTTAAATGAACACAATTTAAATGAACCGACCCTGCCTCTCAGGACCTACCAGGGCAGAGAAGGACACAACATCTCGGCAGAAGGACCGAGATACTCGTTAGAAAGTTGTTTTAAGAAGGTTATTCTACCACCTTTCAGAGTAACTAAGTAACATTCTGTGCGATTTTATATTGGTCTTAGTCTTAGCTCAACAACAATGATAATGTCCTTCAAGTTCTGTTTCTCTTCATTTTCTCTTTCACTCCATCTTTCATTTCACATAAACACATTTGTAACAAACCTTTCATTTCAACTTTTCTGTAACTCCAACTTCTACTTTGCCCCAACTTCTCTTTGGTTTCTATTTTCTATTTCACTTCAACTTCTCTTCCTTTTTTTTCTATTTCTATTAAATTTCATCTCCTTTTTTACTTCTATTTCTATTTCACTCCAACTTCTCTACCCCTTCAACTTCTATTTCATGTCAATTTCTCTTTCATTTCAATTTCTCTTTCAAAAGTTTAATTCAACCTTTTATACTTCTACGTCTGTTTCACTTCAACTTCTCTTGTGCTTCATGTTCTCTTCTACTGCACTTCAATTTCTCTTGTACTCTAACTTCTCTTATAATACTTCAACGTCTCTTTTCCCCCAATAGCTAACCCCCTCTGGAGGTAAATCGCCGGGGCCGTAAGAGATCAGCCCTAGTGGATGATGGGCGTTCCCTTTTCCCTGAACCACCGAGCCACTGTTTGAAGCCATGACGACATGAGGATATTTCTGGCAATTTAGTTATTATCATTTCGACATTTTGTTCTTTTGCTTAGGATTCTCGGGTTATAATATACCTATTATGTTGACTAAGAACAGATTTGACCGTATGTAATCTGAAATCGTAGGAAGTTTTAGGAAGTAATTAAACTTACGATTTTTATTTTTTTTTAGTTTGTATGTTTCAGTTTCAGTACAAAGTTTAGAAGGATGATGACATGGTTTGAATTACAGTAACAGTGGGTTTTTTAAATTAAATGCTCACTCACTCATCACGGCAGCTGTTTGTTTGTAGATTTGCGTGTGCTGGAGTGTGTGAGCGTGTTTGTGAGTACAGTATTAGGGGAAGGGATGAATAGGAGAGAGGGAGAGAGAGAGAGAGAGAGAGAGAGAGAGAGAGAGAGAGAGAGGGGGGGGCATAAGGGATGGCCCACAGCATCATGGGAGGTTTGGTGTTTTAGTAGTAAGGTTTTACGGCGCTCGCAACTGCATAAAGTCATATGAGCGCCAAGGGGTGGACATCAACAGAGAAGTCCTTACAGGGAATCAGACTTATTCTGCTGACCTCTCAAGCTTCATCAGCAGGCACTCGGAAATAGCAGGTCAAAAGAGTGTGACAAACATACAAAGAAATAGAGGAAAATGACAATTGTAAGGATCAGGAAAGAAAAAGCAGCAGTTCCCTGTTGTAGATCGGGCAGTTATGAGAGTGACATGAGTCAGCCCATTTACAATTCTACTATGCTTGAACGAGAAATGCCCCCCCC